AACTTATATAATTCATTCAAAAATTTGAGGGTCAGCAAAAAAAAAAAAAAAAAACAGAGGAAATTCTGGCTTACTAATCATGTGTCAGCAACATTATGTACACAGTTGGACTGTTTGTGTAACAATAGCAAGAGGTATTTGTGTAATTCACAAGTACGGTTTACAAGTCATTAAAAAAAAGCAATTAATTTCAAAGGTAGAGTACTTTTGTGATACTTTGCATTGGCAATTAAACAAAAAATAATTTCTTAATTACTTAATATTTCTACCTACTTTGATTTCTAACTAATTGAGTTTCAACTGACAATCTTTTATTTATAGCCTGTCCTTCTTCCTGAAATGTTGCCAATGATTTCAATAAGGTTAGCAATACTTTCATATTACAAACAAAAAATAATCCAAGGCTAGTTTAAACCAATTAATAGCCACAACCTTAAAATGCATGGCTACATCTACTGGTCAAACTAGCAACATAAATTTAAATGAAAACTTTAAAATATTTTTGTTATAACACAACAATACATTTTAAAATTAATAAAAATAATAAGTGATAAAAAAACTGCATAAGAGCATTATATTTAGTTTCTATGAAATGGATAATTACTTGCTCCTCTATAAAGTAATGCTCGAAGCATTCATCCAGAGTGGCTTTAGGCACTTGCTTCTGTTGGTTCCTCAGCCTTTGGACACTAGGATCTACTTCCATTAAAACCTCTACATCACTTATCATCCTGAAGAAATAAAAACATAAGCTTTAGCTGACTTTTGTTTTCTTTATAATTCATAGATAAAAAATAACATTGAAAACATATAACACCAAAAACATGTTGATGTCCAAGACTGATCAATCACTTCTTGGACATTTGGCTGCCAATGGAACACAGTTAGTAAGCTGGTGAACAAAAAAAAAGAAGTAACTATAGTTAGTTTTTGCTATTAAGTAGCTAAAAAATCTGCTTTGCTTCTGGTATAGAATCTACTCCAATTTTAATTTATCAGAGTTAATAGCAAACAAGAAGTTCAAGCCATTAAATACAGTTCTATTAGGTCAACAAGAAATTAATGTCATGTTTTGGAACACTTTCATTACCCCCACCCAAAAAAAACCGTACATCACTTATAATAGTTAAACAAACCATCTAAACATCACCATAGTGTAGCCTATATAATGTGTAAAGTTTACTATACTCTAATCCCTTATAGTGATGGCACACGATGAAACACACATTTGGCATGTAATGCTGTTTGAATATAAGGGAAACAACGTCTCTGTAGCCACAAAGAAGTTTAAGGAAATGTTTTGAACATTCGTAAGTATCAACAATGGTTCAGCAAATTTCATTCAGGTGACTTTAGCCTTAAAAACTCTGATGGCAGGGGCTGACATGTTGGAATGGATATTGATACTCTGAAGACGGTTCTTGATTCTAACCCAATACATCACACTCGTGAAATGGCCCTGAAATTGCATGTGTCTCATAAAACAATATGTAAACATCTACGGAATATGGGTAAAATCCATAAAGAAGGTGTTTGGGTGCCTCACAAACTCTCCAATGATCCAACGTATGAAAGTTGCTTCGTCTCTTCTGGCACGTAATGACCATGAACCATTTTTGGACAGAATTGTTACTGGTGATGAAAAATGGATTCTTTATG